GGGCATCTTCAGGTGCCAGTCTGGACCATGCACATCCACATCAGGAGCATCAATGTCCACTTTAGGGCCTTTGATGTCCACTTCAGGGCCCTTGAAGTCACCTTCCACTTTGGGCAGAGACACGTCCACATTTCCCTTTACTTTGGGACCTTTCAGGTTTAAATCAAGGTCAGGCATGGAGATCTTGGGAGCCTTGATGTTCACCTCAGGCATCTTGAACTTGGGGCCCTTCACTTTCATATCTGGCCCTTCAATATTCACATCCGGAACATCAATGTCCACCTTGGGAACTGAGACATCAAGGTCAGCCTTGGGCAGGTTCACATCCACTTCAGGCCCTTCTCCTTTGAAGCCGGGCATGCTGAACTTGGGCATTTTCACTTTAGGCATCTTCAGGTGCCAGTCTGGACCATGAACGTCCATATCAGGGGCACTGATGTCCACTTTAGGGCCTTTGATGTCAACTTCAGGACCTTTGAGGTCACCTTCTATTTTGGGCAGAGACACATCTACATCCCCCTTTACCTTTGGCCCCTTCAGATTTAGGTCAACTTCAGGCATGGAGATCTTGGGTGCTTTGAGATGCAGGTCAGGCATTTTAAACTTGGGTCCCTTCAGTTTGCCTTCTGGCCCATGAATGTCCACATCAGGCATTTCTAGATCCACCTTGGGTCCTGACACATCCATTTGGGGGCCTTTCAGATCTCCTTCCAGTTTGGGAATAGAAATGTCCATGTCTCCCTTGACCTTAGGTCCTTTCAAGTTCAAATCAATGTCACTCATGGAGATTTGCGGGGTTTTGAAATGAACATCAGGCATTTTAAATTTGGGACCTTTGAGTTTCCCTTCAGGACCTTCAATGTGCACATCAGGGCCATGTACCTCACCTTCCACTTTAGGTAAGGAAAGGTCCACATCTCCCTTCACTTTTGGCCCTTTAAGATGTAAGTCAAAGTCAGGCATGGAGATCTTAGGAGCTTTGATATGCATGTCTGGCATTTTAAATTTAGGCCCCTTTAATTTTCCCTCTGGACCTTCAATGTTGACATCCGGGGTGTCAATGTCCATGCTGGGGCCCTTCATATCAATGTCAGGGCACTTTATGTCACCTTCCATCTTAGGCAGAGAAACATCTACATCCCCCTTCACTTTGGGGCCCTTCAGATGCAAGTCAAAGTCAGGCATGGAGATCTTGGGAGCCTTGATGTTCATCTCAGGCATCTTGAACTTGGGGCCCTTCACTTTCACATCTGGAGCTTCAACATTCACATCTGGAACATCAATGTCCACCTTGGGTCCTGAGACATCAAGGTCAGCCTTGGGCAGGTTCACATCCACTTCTGGACCCTCCCCTTTGAAGCCAGGCATGCTGAACTTGGGCATTTTCACTTTAGGCATCTTCAGGTGCCAGTCTGGGCCATGAACATCCACATCTGGAGCATCAATGTCCACTTTAGGACCTTTGATATCAACTTCAGGGCCCTTGAGGTCACCTTCTACTTTGGGCAGAGACACGTCCACATCTCCCTTCACTTTTGGACCCTTAAGATGCAAATCAAGGTCAGGCATGGAGATCTTGGGAGCCTTGATGTTCATCTCAGGCATCTTGAACTTGGGACCCTTCACTTTCACATCTGGCCCTTCAACATTCACATCGGGAACATCAATGTCCACCTTGGGAACTGAGACATCAAGGTCAGCCTTGGGCAGGTTCACATCCACTTCCGGGCCCTCTGCTTTGAAGCCAGGCATGCTGAACTTGGGCATTTTCATCTTGGGCATCTTCAGGTGCCAGTCTGGACCTTGCACATCCACATCTGGAGCATCAATGTCCACTTTAGGGCCTTTGATATCAACATCTGGGCCTTTTAAGTCCCCTTCGATCTTGGGAAGGGAAACATCTACATCACCACCTATCTTTGGCCCCTTTAGGTTTAAATCAATGTCAGGCATTGAAATTTTGGGAGCCTTGAGGTGCATCTCTGGCATCTTAAATTTAGGTCCCTTCAATTTACCTTCTGGACCTTCAATGTTAATATCTGGAGTGTCAATGTCCACTTTGGGGCCCTTGATGTCCACTTCAGGGGCTTTGAAATCACCTTCTACTTTTGGCAAAGAAACTTCCACATCACCCTTTATTTTGGGGCCCTTCAAGTTTAGATCAAAGTCAGGCATGGAGATCTTGGGAGCCTTGATGTTCATCTCAGGCATCTTGAACTTGGGGCCCTTCACTTTCGCATCTGGCCCTTCAATATTCACATCTGGAACATCAATGTCCACCTTGGGTCCTGACACATCAAGGTCAGCCTTGGGCAGGTTCACATCCACTTCTGGACCCTCTGCTTTGAACCAGGCACGCTGAACTTGGGCATTTTCACTTTGGGCATCTTCAGGTGCCAGTCTGGACCATGCACATCCACATCAGGAGCATCAATGTCCACTTTAGGGCCTTTGATGTCCACTTCAGGGCCCTTGAGGTCACCTTCCACTTTGGGCAGAGACACGTCCACATCACCTTTCAATTTGGGACCCTTCAGATTTAAGTCAATGTCAGGCATGGAGATCTTGGGGGCTTTGATGTTCATCTCAGGCATCTTGAACTTGGGACCTTTTATGCTTCCCTCTGGACCTTCCACATTGAGTACTGGAGCTTCAATATTCATTCTGGGACCTTCTATGCTGAGGTCTCCTTTAGGCAGATCCACAGCCACCTCAGGCCCTTCCGCTTTTATTCCAGGCACACTGAACTTAGGCATTTTCATCTTGGGCATTTTCACATTGCAATCTGGACCATGAACATCCACATCTGGGGCATTAACATGCACTTCTGGAGCCCCAATGTCCACTTTGGGGCCTTTCAAGTCACCTTCTACACTAGGAACTGTAGCATCTATGTCTCCTTTGACTTTGGGCCCTTTCAAATTGAGTTCCACATCAGGCATTGAAACTTTGGGGGAGGAAATAGTCAGGAAAGGCATTTTAAACTTGGATCCTCCTTTTGCTTTTCCTTGGAGCTCAACTTCAGGAGCATTAATATCAACTTTTGGACCCGTTACATCAATGTCTGACTTTTTAACTTTGACATCCACGTCGGGCGTCTGAACTTTGGAGCCTGAGAAGTTGAATTTGGGAAGCTTGAAGCGAGATTTCTTTGACTTGCCTTCAATATTAATCTTGGGAGCAGAAATGTCCACTTCAGGGCCCTTTACATCCAATTTGGGAGTTTTCATGTCACCCTCCAACTTGGGTCCAGAGATATCCACATCTCCCTTCAGCTTTGAGCCTTTCAAATTCAAGTCAATTTCTGGCATGGAGATCTTGGGCATGTTCACATGCATATCAGGCATCTTCAGTTTGGGGCCCTTTAATTTGCCCTCAGGGCCCTGAAGGTCAATATCTGGCGCTTCTAAATCTAACTTTGGGCCTTTTATGTCAAGATTAGGTCCCTTCAAATCACCCTCTATACTTGGAAGTGAAACATCCACATCTCCTTTCACTTTAGGACCCTTCAGATTAAGATCCAAATCTGGCATGGAGATCTTGGGAGCCTTGATGTTCATCTCAGGCATCTTGAACTTGGGGCCCTTCACTTTCACATCTGGCCCTTCAACATTCACATCGGGAACATCAATGTCCACCTTGGGAACTGAGACATCAAGGTCAGCCTTGGGCAGGTT